CCCCCGCCGCTTTGCTCAGCGTCTCCCTGTTCTGCAGACCAGGGAGATGCTGAACAGAGCGGCGGAGCACCCGGCAGGACCCGCGCCGCTTCCAGCTGATCTGGAAGCGGCCGCGGGTCCGGCCCCCGGTGCTCCGCCGCTTTGCTCCCCTCTCTCTGGTCTGCTGGCTCCACCAGCAGACCAGGGAGACGGGGAGCAGCTTTTCTTGCCCCGGAGAAGGCGGGCGGCGGGACCAGGCGTCCCGCTGCTCTAGTTCTCCGGGGCGAGAATCCCTGTTCGTAACTATGGACCCGACTTAAGTCGGATCCGCGTAACTCGGGGACTGCCTGTATATGAATATTCCATTTTAAAAGCTTGTACTCCTCCTCAACATACAAAAGTATTTAAGAAAACATTCTATTAACTGTACAGCAAAGTTGTATTGTTTTGTGGTGATTGGAGAATTACTTTTTAGCCTGAAAAGAGATAAGTGAAGATTTGTAAAAATAACTTTACCATTCTCCTGAAATTTTCAGTCTTTGCAAATTATTAAGTTGTACCAATGCTTTACATCAAAGCAGCTGCCATCTTATGAGGAGCTATTTTTTAAAAGCCCACAACCGAAAATGTTGTATTTTACCTCATTTTTTTTTCGTTCTGTTCTTTGGTACTATTCACAAAAACTTATCCTTATGGACTTTATGTACAGGTGGTATCTCCCTTAACCGGGAGTCTGGTCCAGCAGGGCCATGGATATTCCTTGACCACAGAGCCCAGGTATAGGAAGATTGGGCTGCAGGGGAGGAGCGGCGGGGAGGAAGGATGGCAACTCAGCCAGCTGCTTCATGTTGGGGGGGGACTCAGGGGACAGTGCAGCAGGGAGTTCTGGCCCCTGCGGCTGAGCAGTAGCGGCTGGGCTGGAGCTCTAGCTGCGGGCAGCAGAGCAGCATGGGCCATGATGGGAGGGACCTCCCCTGATCAGGCAAATCCGGTCACTCGGGACTGGTTAGGTCTTGAGGAGGAGGGAGGTCCAACCTGTAGAAGAAGGGTGATCAGAGCGCAGAAAGTGAGAGGGCTACCCTGGCTACAAACTGTGACAGCTACCTTCATTCCAAGATCCCATTAAGATTGTCAAAAAAGCTAGTATAGAGCTGTGTCTGCACTTTGGATCTTATAGTGGCACAGCTGTACCACTGCAACTGTACCACTGTAAGAGCTTGTGTATAGCTGCTCTATGACCATAGGAGAGATTTCTCCTTCAGCATAATTAAATCTACCCCAACAAGTAATGATAGCTGGTGTGAGATGCTTTGCTACTGGTATAGTGCTATCTACAACTGCACTTAAGTCAGTGAAACTTACATTGGTCAAGGGATGGTTTTTTCACATTCCTGATAGACAAAAAAAATTGCCAAAGAAAGTACTCATACATACATAGCATCAGCTAGCAAACAAAACTTACTTATTGCAGCCTGCTCTTTAGGAGCAGAGTTTGATGTATTACTCAGAAGAATGAAATTAGGGATTTAAAGTTTAAATGTTCTATTCCACCCAAATATGAGAGTGTAGCCGGCCAGAGTAAGTCTCAGGTCCGATACTGGGTTCCCAAAGTACAAAGGTATCTGTGAAACACAAGGGCTGTGTCTACACTGCACCCCTTTTCCGGAAAAGGGATGCAGATTAGACAAGTCGGAATTGCAAATGAAGCGGGGGATTTAAATATCCCCTGCTTCATTTGTATAAACATGGCTTCTGCTTTTTTCCGGCTCGGGGCTTTGCCGGAGAAAAGCGCCAGTCTAGACGGGATCTTTCGGAAAATAAAGCCTTTTCCGAAAGATCCCTTATTCCTGATTTTAAGAGGAATAAGGGATCTTTCGGAAAAGGCTTTATTTTCCGAAAGATCCCGTCTAGACTGGCGCTTTTCTCCGGCAAAGCCCCGAGCCGGAAAAAAGCGACAGCCATGTTTATACAAATGAAGCGGGGATATTTAAATCCCCCGCATCATTTGTAATTCCGACTTGTCTAATGTGCATCCCTTTTCTGGAAAAGGGGTGCAGTGTAGACGCAGACAAGTAGTTTATTTCTTGACAGCTAACAGCTGTGCCCCATAAATGGAAGAACAATATAACAAAGAATCGGCATATCTTACGTCCCTTCCTGCAAGCCTGGGACCCCGAGTAGGCTGCGGACGAAGTGGGAGGTTGTCTCAGCTTCCGAGGCGCCGGTACTCAAAGCCTATCGGTGAAGTCCCATTTGCTAGGGTCTCAGGCAGCCTTAAATCCAATTTTCCCTGCCTTGTTTTGCAGTTTGGAAATTTCCAGGGTTTACTCATTACATGCTGAGGTAGGACTTAGCTGTTAGTTATCGATCTGGTTCTGATCTGGATCATCTTGTTCTTTGGCCTTGTTTACATGATCAGTACGTTAGGGTAAACAGAATTGTTTATGCATTCTTGCCCTTTACCCTTATCTTATATTTGTTCTTGCTATACTGGCAACAATGCTTACCTTAAGTGGCGTATGTTCCCAAAGACTTGCTTCTGGCTCGTCAGATAAAGGGAAAAGGGAAAGGGGAGAAAGAATGCAGGCCTTACTACCCCTAAACTAGCATGTACAAAGTTCTTCCACAATTGACCACTACAGGGAGGATGTGGTTTAAATTTAATTTTAGTTGAACGGAGAAGATTTTTAACGGGGCTGTGAATAAAAGACTGCATGTTCTCATTGTTTGTCAGATTCAGTTAAATTATATGAAAAAATACTTACTTTATTCAGTAAAATTTCTGACCATGACATTGGTTTGTTCTGTTTTTTTAACTGAAATATAATTTAAATCTGTTTAATTTTTTCCCTGTTTTACATTCTTTGATTTATTCTAATACCAGAAAATGGATAATGAAACTAAAATTGTTACCAAAGCATATTGGATAAAGGAAATAAAATTGATAATGTTTTCTCTCCAGAGATTGCAACACTGTTCTGATCTGGTCACTTTTATGGTGGAGCTTAAAACTATTTTGGTGAGTAGTATATTTCAAGGGAATCTTCAAGTAGTCTTAGTTTTCTCTTTCTTTTTGTTTGTCTGTTTTTAGAAAGCTACGAGAATTTGTTAGCTTTTTAAAGTTTTAAAATTCATCTTATTAGAATATTGCAATTTTAGTAGTACAGACAGCTAGTTGCTAAATATTTAGTAATTATAATATCTGATAATTACTCATTGGACTGTTTGAGTGAGCATTCTAGAAGTAATAATCCAGTGCTCAGTAAGTGACCTTGTTATTTTAAGCATCTTGATAGAAACTCACGGGCCATGGGCCATCTACAGTCTGAAATATATTAGCTGCTGCTGCTACCCCATGCTAAGGCCCCTCCTGTGCTCCTCTTCCCCTCACCCCCAGTAATCCCCGGGACCAGGTCCCTCGGGAGGCAGGGTACTATGGGGGGGAAGAGAGCAGGGCAGTGACTGGGTTTGGTGGTGGGTTCAGACATACCTTCTCCTGGGTTAGACTGCAAACATGCTCCAACCTGTAGATGGCTTGCGCACTGTGAGTTTGAGACACTGATACAGAAATTACTACCATGATTTTGTGTGTTTGGGGTGGATGATACAGAGGATCATTCTCTTGATATCGTCTTCCAGAGCAGGGAGGGGGAGATTCTACATTTATAAGCAAACTGAACTCTTCCACCCTTCGGCTATACTGGAGTAATGCATTCCATGTAACTTGATTTGGTAAGATGATACAAAATATAGTTGTCTTGTTTACAATCCAGTCTCTTGACTGCTATAGGTTTTTTACAGTATAGATACACCCTTTGGGAATGTTGACAGCTGTATCTACTACACTATTCCTGCTCTACCCCGACCCTCCAGAATCTTCCCATTGTTGCTGCTATGATGGCCTTGTCTGCACTACACAGCTTTGGACAAAAGAAAGCTTGTTGACAAGAAGTGATCACATTACAGTACTGCTGGCAAAACTCTCATACTTTACTGACAAATAAAACCATCTTGACAAGCTATAGAACCTTTTGTGGCAACAAAGTATCACTGTGGACTCTGCATTCAGTAGGTTGCCATACCTGGTCTGTTCACTGTAGCACTGCTCACTGTTTTGAACTCTACTCCCCTATGTCCAGCTACACGGACATGTTTCCTTCCCCTTTGAAAGCACCAGCAACTTTTGAGATTCCTCTGCATGAAGAACACACATAACTACTGGCTCCTAGCAGCATGCACTCTCTTGCCTGGACTACAGAGGAATGAATGGATCTCCTTGGTCTCTCAGGAGCCAATTGTTCAATCTATGTCAATTGTTCTGTCTCGGTCTTTGCCTGGCTGGACACCAGGGCAACTGTAGCCAGTTTCTTTTTGCTCTGTATGTAGCTTTTTGCATGTTGGTTACAAACTACTTCCTACACGCACAAAAAGGGCTAGTCGTCTTCTGTGAAACAGCAGAATGCTAATAAATGTTTTATGAATATTCTGTAGATTGACTCAGCAGAGTCTTTCTTCATCCAAAGTAATAAACATTTAAATTGAGAATGTTGCAGCAAAATATATGGAAATATCAACCAGAACTTCTTATGTGGCTCCCTGCTCTTTAAAGCCATCCATTGATTTTATTTTATATCTCCTGGGGGGGAAATCTTTGTCAATGTCCTTGAGCGTCCAGATTTTTTCTTCATGAAGCCAAAATTTCACTTATTTTAACTAATGTAAATATAATCTATTAGTTAATGTTCTGTCTGTAAACTAATATGGAGGACTTTGTTTATTAAATGATTTTTCCATTCCTTTTTGTAGAATTTTGCTCCAGTATCTGTTTTAATGTTGCTGTTTCTAGCTCTTATTACAAAGAGACATCTAAAATAGAAATAGGTGCCTATTGCTGCGGATCCAGGAATTCTGTTGTACACTTCAGTTTTAGGTTGCTACAGATATGCTAATAAACACTACTTAAAAGACTTTTGGAAAATCTTTTGTTAGTATTGCGAAAAGGGGACTTTTAGCCAACTTAGAGCCAGAGTGAAAGAGTTATGAGATGATATCTTAACTGTAATAGGCAGTTTTATTAAGAAAATATGGCATTATGACTAAAGACTTTGGTTGCTGCTTTTAATTCACAATCACACATTATGGAATGTTGAATTAATAGCTCGAAAATTCCCACCATATGACTAACATATCTATTCCAAATTGGCCATAGTATACCTCCTCCAAAAAACAAAACCTGGGCCTCATTTTTGATCCATTTTTGATATTCCCATTTCGAATATTTTAAATAGAGGCGAGGTTAAAAATATTTTAAATAAATAAATTAAATAGGAGTAGGGGCATTCTTTCTTTCATTTTCCCAAAGCCACTATTTAACGCTCTTCATTTGAGTGGATATTTTGTCTTCCTAGCTGAGGTCTGTTTGAGTTAACTTAGAGATATGGCTCTGGATTACCTGATGAAAACTTTTGTTTCAATCTGAACTGAAAGGAGTTTAGGCACAGCAACAAATTCTTGGGAAGGTGAACGGGACTTAATGCAATAAGATCTATGCAGTTCTATCATAGAAACTTCACCTGGTGCATCCGTAACTTTCCTGAAGGGTACTGTTTTCTGTACAAATCTGGTCTGCAACTTGGTTGCCTTGGTCTTCCTTCGAACTGGGTTTTTTCTGACTGTTCTGTAGCCAATTCCCATTCATGATTAAGGCCTCAAGTTATGTTTTCACATCTGCATTGATCTCCACTTCTGCCCCATACTCCCCACTCATCTTTCCTGGATTATCATTTCAGCCCTTGACTACTTTCATACATTGCGTGGTGCTGTTCATCTATCTTCCTGAGAAGAGTCATTGAACGCCACTGATCAGCTGGCTTGCAAATAGTAAAAAAATAAAATTTGAAGTATACTAACTTAACATTTTAAACATGCTTCTAGGAAATTAGTAGCACTGTTCATGAGCACAACATGGAACATATGGTATGATTTTTTTTCTATGGCCCTTGACTTTGTTATCAGGGAAAATTGCTTGCTAGGACATTGGGAACAAGCACTTGACCAGCTCTTCCTCAGCTTTGTTTCCAAGCTGTGCACTTAACAGAACATTTTACATTTTGAAGTGTTATTTCAAACAAATTTAAAGCATACTTGATATTTACATGTAAAGACTACAGTGTCAATATCTGTTTTTAAAAATGTTTTTATCATAATCTGAAGTAGTTAACCAAAATCCTTTTATTTGCTTCATTTAGAGGCTAAAACAAACAAATTTATAATTTAATTTTACTTAAACTTAATATTTTGAATGACTTGTATGACTGTGAATAGATGCAAAATACTGAATGGTGTACCATTTATAATGGCGTCTTTAAATATTCTTTTAACAGGAAGCTGCTCTAAAGAATGCACAAGAGCTGCATGTACCCCCGCCTCCAGAATACTACTCATCTCTTGTCAGAGATATAGAAACATTGGGTTGGGATAAGTATGTTTTGGTTTTCGTTACTTAATAGAAGTTACCTTTGGAATATCTATGCTGCTTTTGGATGAATGGGTTCAGCATATCTGTTTTAAAAGTACCTTTGGTCAATTAATTTAATCTGTACAGGTCAAACAGTTTGATAGTGAAAATAACAATCTACTGCCTTTTGCTTTTCTAAAACTATTATTAACCAAAAGGCCCATCATGCTATTAAAAAAATGACCTGAAGGGTAAGATGCTACATATTACTATAAAGAAATCAATTTTTATGTGTGCTATAAACTGTCAGCATAGACAATATTTTTAATACAACTTCTTTCTCGTTTTCCCTCTTGCTTTTTCCCTAAGTTGTGTATCATTTGATCGTGACACTTTTCATTAAATAGTGGAAGATAAGTGATGTCACCATATCTGAGTTACATGTAATAGGTAAAGCTACTTTTGCGCCAGCAAATGTTTTATCCTTTCATAAAAGCCTCTATGACACACAGTTGTTCTAACAAACTAGCACATCAAAGTACATTACATTGTCTGAGAGGTGACTCTAACTCCTTTGCAGCCATAAGAGGCTTCTGTACAGGGATGCATTGTGGTTCCACAGTGTAGAAGAGGAAGAGTGTGGTTTTGGGGGAGCCTGCGCTGGGCTTCAAACTGTCTGGGTCCATTCCAGCTCTTTCTGAGCCCTGAGTGTGGCAGATGTTCATATTGCTGTGACTAGAGATGGGGAATTCATACAAGCAAAATCAACATCATGGAACTTGGTCTCTTTATGAGCATCTGTTGCATATCAGTTATTTGGAAATGAGTTGGTCAAGTAGTATCCTATAAGGCAGTGTCTCCCAATTTTATTTGGCCACGGAACCCTTTTAAACTCGAAAGAATTTTGCGGAGCCCCTAAAAACAGTCTCATATATGGAGATGAAAAAGTAGACCACTGAGTGTGAGTACGGGGATTTACGGTGGTCTATAACAGGCGATTGCACCACTGACTGACTGCACACTCAGAAGCAAAATGCAGGACAATGTAGCACTTTAAAGACTAACAAGATGGTTTATTAGATGATGAGCTTTCGTGGGCCAGACCCACTTCCTCAGATCAAATAGTGGAAGAAAATAGTCACAACCATATATACCAAAGGATACAATTAAAAAAAATGAACACATATGAAAAGGACAAATCACATTTCAGAACAGGAGGGAGATGCGGGGGGGGGGGGGGAAGGAAGGTAAGTATCTGTGAATTGATGATATTAGAGGTGGGGAGAGTGGGTACTGATAGTGACATCATCATCCCCACTCTGGCTAAGCTGGCATTACACAGGGACGCTTACCATGGCGCAAACAAAAGAAAATTGTTTTCAATAAAATTCATAAATGCTTAAATATTAATTTTTTAAATCATAAAATGTTATTGTAATGGAATTTTCTCACTGAATCCTTATTTTCACTTTATGGAACTCCGGGGTTCCAGGGAACACCATTTGGGAAACACTGTTATAAGATATTGATTCAGCTGTCAATCAGACCACCATTTTTTATAATATATTTTTAATGTAACTGTTCCAGACAGGGAGACAGCTGGGTATGCCTTATGTGAAAATAGCTTGCCAGATGAGGGAGGGGGCTCTAATCCTTGAGATATTCCTGCTTACTGTGCATTTAGTAGCAGAGATGAAATGACGCAAGAACAAATGGATATAAATTGGCTATGAACAAGCTTGAAATTGGACAAAGTTTTCTAACCATTGGAAGAGTAAAGTTCTGGAACAGTGGTAGTTAAAAACCTAACATCCTTCAAGACAGAGCTTGATAAATTTTTGGAGGGGAGTGTCTGAGACCACCTGCAATTGCATGTGGCCTATCTGTGCTACTAGCAGATATCTTCAATGGCTGGAGATGGGACACTAGATAGAGGAGGGCTCTGAGTTACTATGATATTTTTTCACAGGTGTATGAATCAGGTGGGTCTTGCTGATATGTTTGGTCCAAATGACTGCCATACTTGGGGTCTGGAAGAAATTTGCTCCCAGGTCAGATTGGCCAAAAAAAAAAACCCTGTTTTTTTTTTTTAACCTTCCTCTTCAGCATGGGACATGGGTTAGTTTCAGGTTTTAAATTAGTATAAACTGTGAATTCTTTGTAACTTGAAGTCTTTAAATTATAATTTGAAGACTACAGTAATGCATCCAGAAACTATAGGTCTACTACAGCAGTGAGTGGGCAAGGGTTTGTGGAAGAGATCAGAGTAGATCACTATGATGATCCCTTCTGGCCTTAAAGTATATTAATCTAATAGCATGTACACCACTTTAGATTTCAGGACTTTCAAGTTTAATAGGGAAATCAATGTTCCAGGTGGAAATACTGAAATCCATTTTTACATTATTTTCCCAAAAATTCAGACTATGAAAAGAAAACTGAAAATCTATGGATGATATGACTGGGGAGACTTGTGCAGAGATTTTAGTTTCTGCTATACCAAAAAGCCCTAACACGACCTATATACAAGAGGACAGTTTTCCAACTTGATTCCAACCCTTCCCACTGAACTTGGCAATAGGATCAATGTGGTGGCAGCTGCACATACAGTGACAATGCTCTATTGTTGCTGTCCACTTCATCTTGCTGTGGACTCAGAGGATCTGCAACTCAAGAGTGGCATGCTCACTCTGAATGGTGAATAGCCCAGCTGGTAGCAGTCAGCAGGAGTAAAGCATACTGCTGTATCAGTGTTGTGGTCAGGAGGAGAGCTGAGCTAACCTAAGCCAAAAGTGGGTTTTTTCCTACTTAACATTTGTAATCTTGTCCCGTCAAGTTGGAGGACTTCACATCGCTCCCTTCAAGTGGAATGGAGAGGTGTATCTGTATCTGGCTACCTTATCAATGTGTTATGTGGGCCTAGGAAGTATCCAAAAGCCTTCAAAAGCATGGCTCTTAGTGAACAACAGGAAAGACCAATTGCAGCTTTCACAAAACTCCCAATTTATTGTCCAAGACAACCCTTTTTTTGGAGGAGAAATGAAAGATACTTTACAAACTTCTCCTATGCTAAAAAACTGACTCGGCTCCTGGTCTTTGGTAGATACCTGGCAAACTTTTAGTTTACTTCTAGTCGGGAATGGCAGCAATTCAATATTTAAAGATTTTGGTCCAGATGTAGTGCTAGTATCTCCTAGTGAGTTCATTCTTAATATTATTTAACAGCTACCTGATATCGGCTCGAGAGAGACTGCTTGAGCATAGCTGGACCCCCGTATATTAGTCCTGGGAGAATTCTGCAATTGTTGCATTTGGAGCCATAGCAAAATTGCAGAATTTCTTTAGGACTGATATATGAGAACATATTTGAACTCCTGTAAGACTTGAAGATAGTGTAATCCACAGAGGAGATAGGGCATATGCCCTGTCTTGTTATGGTCCATAAAGTTCATTACTTAATTCCTGAAGATGCCTTTGCAGAAAAATGGTGTATAGATAATTGCTAAGAAGGCAGAAAACTTTCAGCATTGCTTTGGAGATTTACCCTTGTTAATGTTCTGGATAGAAGTGCTTATTCTATTTCTTAGGGTTCTACAGTGTTGGTTGTTCAGTGAGATGCATTAAGAACAAAGGGAATGTAGTCTGGCCAATTTAGCTTTTCAGTGCATTATAGGTTAGATGTTGAACCTATCTACATTCAAGTCCACTTGGAAAGCCAAGAGAAGTATTCTGTAAGGGAGGGATTCTCAAATGCAAAGGTTGAGGTATCTTTATCTCAGAAGTGGGCTAAATGGCTTTATTTCTTTCACCTCTCAGCTACTAAGAGTGAAGCAATAGACCGCAGTAATTATAATCATTTTCTCGTTGAGCCTTAGGTCGTTTGTTCTCAAATTTGATTTAAATACGCCTGAAACCTCTTCCAACTCCTGCTCTCATACACACCCCTTGCCACATAGCATAATCAGGGACCTATTCTAAATCAATATCCAGGGTTGCCTGGCTTTTCATCTGGGATATTAGGAGGAAGGAACTAAAGTTACTTGTTCTAAGAAGGTTACAAACATCCCCTTGATCTCTTGGAGGAAATTTCAGAGTTATTTCTATGTATTGCTTGAAGTTTAGATACTGGTATTACAAGAGGCCCATATCAGGGCAAAATCAGTTGAAGCAAAGGATATTCTAGTGTCTTTAAAATATGTCTTGACACTGAGGCTCAAGGTCATTATTTCTGGGGAACATGAAAGGTCAATGTTTCTGGGAAACCTGAAACGTTACTGTTTCTGGGAAACATGAGTTGGCAACTGCAAGTGATTGCAATTTTAAGAAACCCATGAGAAACTCATAATCAGAAAAGACTCCTGAGAATCACCAGTCATATCAGTCTTATTGTGATATGCAGACTCCGGTCATGATTTTTTATCCTAATACCATCTTTCATC